CCGGTAAATAAGATATATGGCCTAGATACAAACTGCTACAGCATCCTATTATCTGGGGGAAAACGACATAAGAGACCGGTAAATAAGATATATAGCCTAGATACAAACTGCTACAATATCCTATTATCTTAGCATTTATATTTTTCTTTCCCAGTTAAAGACGTTTTCCAGTCTTCTTGACCTAAGAGCTCCATTTTATTATCTGATCAACCTTTTTGGACAACTTATGGTTTCCAACTTAGCAAACCAATCACCGTTATAAAAGTTTTCCCAGTGGAAATTTTCCGATTTTTTTTTCACCTCGCAGTTCTAGCTAAATTGGGCCCCCTGTGAAATAATAAAGCAAAATTGATAATGAAAACTTTTACAGATTACCTTCTTCGCATATATATTCTAAGTTGTTTTCACAACCCAGATCATTCCATTTTCCATTATAACTGCCATAGTCTGTCATCTCGACACATTTCTCATCAGGGTTATCGCCATTCGGAATTATCCAGTTTTTATAAACTAAATCCTCACCAGTCACCCAATAGAAATCCACTGGGTTACGATGGAGCCCAATCCAAACAGATTTCGATTTGGTAAATGTTTTATAGACAAAGTCGTTCTCTTCAGCGCTACTAAATGTTAGCAGATGTGACCCCTGAGCCTCGCATCCACGCCTTGCTTCAGACCATGTGCCTTTGTCGTTGAAGAGCTTGTAGCAGGACGCATTAAAAAACACCCATCCAGGAGCACAACCATTGGAACCTAATATTAAATGAAAATAGTCTATTGAATGAATATATAATAAAAATAATGCTGATAATGATCACGGTAATGTTGATGATGGTGGTCTTATAGTGCAACTACTATAACCGGGGCAATTAGACAGCGAGAACCAATCAAATTTTAGAATAAAAACAAAAATAATCGGATAATCGGACCACCATCATCATCAACAACAACAACAGCAGCAGCAGCAGCAGCAGCGCAGCAGCATAATTATTGTCATCAAATAAATTTCTCATAATTGTGAAGAAACCCTTTACGGACTTGTATTGCCTTGTCCGGTCATATTGATTAACGCGGCTGTAAGGTTCCCGGGTGTAATCAATTCATTTCTTGATGTAACCCTAGTTGACCAGTTGTAACGTGCGTGGTTGTCGCATTTACTCAAGCTAGTTAGAAGTCAATATTTTTAGTCGGCAAAGAGACCTATTTATTCAGTTTCGCAACAGATATTCTGTTCTCTTCAGCAGTTCGAATTCAACTTGCTGAGAAATTACTTTTAATTACATTTTCTGTTTATTGTTTGTGTGTTTACGATAAGATGGAAAAATGGTCTGAAATAATGCAATACCGCATTTTAAAAGAGGAGATAAATAAGTTTTGCGAAACGTTAGCGAAATATTGGTTCAACAACAGGAAGTTATACGTCCACTTTTACGTGTTATTTACTGACTCACGAGAATACGAATAGGAGAAAATGCTCAAATACATACACTACCTATTTTAAACATCAGTATTTTCCAAGAAATACTTCGGTTAAACAAGTCTATAGTCGACTTCCCTAAGCGAACATGGACCTGCTGGTTGGGTTGGATTTTCTTACCTTTGATGAAGATTACTATCACAGTCAATAGTTTAAACGAACAAGTTTTCATCATTGAGTAAGAGATTTTCCTCCCAAAAAATAGCTGTTATTAGTGATTATAAGTCGAACGAACTGCTGCTAGACTGATTGAAGCGAAACCTTTTAAGATTGCTATGCGCTTTTTTTTCCCTTCATATATTTGATATAGCCCTAGTTAGATCCTAGCCTTAAGATTATTGATCGCAACAAAATTGGACAGTTGTTTACATTGCATTCATTAAATTATCCCTATACTAACGTTGGAAAACGAGAACTGTCAGGAAGTAATATAAACTTCAATCAAAATTTCAATCAAAAAGTATAGATCAGAAAGTATAGATGGTTGTGGGGGGACTGAGTATTGAGTTTAGCGTTTGGCAGTTGAAGTAGAAACGTAGTTTTTGTTTGAGAAGGGACTTCGTCGATAAACGTATTCAAAATGGCTTCCAATGTAATTGTCCAATGGAAAATACGAAAACCATTTGAGTGTACGGTGACATGCCGAAACAGGGAATCGCAAAATTCTGAGCGAATATTCAAGCTGCAGTTCCCATCAAAAAGTTGTACTTGTTTTGATATGAATTAGTTCCCATGATCCTCCCCGATTTTAGCTTTCTAGGTTTTTGAAGACTAACTTTGTTGAAATAAGGTAGGTTGTTTTTCAAACCCCAATTCATGTTATAGTTATTGAAACAACTTGGAATCAAAATGGAATCAACACTGACAGTGTAAATCAGCTATGATCAATCTTTACTCCAAAGCGAGGTTTTGCGTTCTCTCAAACAGGAGGAAAAACTGGCTGGTAAATGACCTTGCACAGGTCCATCGATATTCCCTTCTATAGCAGAGTCTCCCTCGTTGGCGATTCCGGGTAATCCACAACCGGCAGAACGAAGCCTGGGAGTGGACGAACAAACAATGAATGGTGAGATAAAACAAAGAACGCAGCTCACATATAGAACGATACACATTGTTCACCATAATCCATGCTTTCTTTGTTTTTGTTATTTTGTCCATCCCAAGCTTCGTTCTACCAGTGGACACCGACCCGCGATTCTTGAGGAAGACTCGCAGGGAAACATCGATAGAAAAGTTAACAAATTGTCGATGGTTTTGCGTGGTATGTCAGACAATTAGTTACAGATTTAAGACACTGTGGATGGCTAGAGGCGTTCCGGTGAATTTGCCGCTGGCGACGCGAAAATCCCAATTCAAAGACAAGAATACTGTAACAAAGTAAACACAGACCTCAGAGAAGGCTGCGGGGTTTCAGTTTTGCTTTACAGTAAATTCATGGCTATCCGAGGTAGAGCTAGATCAAAAAGGTGACAATTCCGTCAACTGAAGATCGAATGAAGAACCTTTCTAAAAACAGCTGAACATCTGTGCTTATCAACGAAATAAGATAGGTTGCCGCAATCAGTCAATGCATCTCGCAGCATCATCTCAAAAAAACTTTGAGTTGCTACTCTACTAGAGCAACTATCGATTCGACTTTTAACTAGTTGAGAGTACGTGTAAAACAAACTCAGTTGCAATATCAGGGTGGGTAGGTTAGGACTGAAGAAAAACAGACGTTGACGGAATCCGCGATGAAAATAACACGACCTAATAAGTCGGCTGATCCCAATTAAGTTAAGGATGCCCAAATTTGCTTCAAATCAAAAGCTTTTCCTAAGCCATTTACTGTATAAGCAAGTTTGTTCCATCGTTGTAAAATCCTTTTACATTAAAAAAATTAATTCCATCACTTTTTTTTTTCACATTTTGTATTCCATCTTTACTTTACTATATTTTTGTGTTCTGGTCTTGCTTGCTGTAGAAAGTATTCAAGTTTTCTCAATATTTTTTGAATCTTTACACGAATTTTTCAAAGACAAAAGCTAGGTATTGTACAAATATTTGTTTACCTACAGTTCGTACTGTTAAAACGTCTTCTTGCATCATTGTATAGGAAGTACAAAAAGTGAAAAATGCTTAATTAAGAATGCTTATAAATCGTACTTCTGCAGTACATGGGATAAACTTACCTGATGAGAAAGATACAAGTGCCACTACTTGAAATGGAAGAAAATGTACCTTGAAAGTATAAAATAACCGTAATTAGTTAAATAGGTGGTTTGTATAATAGTGAAAAATGAAATAGCGCGTCAAGTAGAAAGCGGAATTATCAAAATCTTCAAGTTCAGTCCATTATCACATTGAAACTAAGAGTTTTTTTAAAATATGCCTGAGAAAATAATTTAGAAATTATCCATACGAATGACCAGAGAAAAAAAAAAGAATCAAAGGGAAAAAATACTGAAAAGATAAAATAAAGAAATATATAAATAAACAAAGAAATAGTCGACATTGTGTTTATAAAATAATGATTTTCATGATCTTAGCTTTTATTTGTGAAAGCTTACCTGAAATGAGGCCAAAGATAAAACAATCCACCAAGATTGGGAAACCTCCATTTTCTCGTAGTAAGGGATGCACTTTCAGATTTTCCCGTCTCTAAAATCAAATCAAAACTAATTCTAGCTCTCGTTTTAAATCCGTTTTGCACTTGGCACTACTTATTACTGAAATACGTATACGCTTTACTTAGTCCTTGTCCTTTTTTGTTGTTGCTGTGAATCAATCGAAATTCAGTCTCTCGAAACCAGGGACGGTACAAACGACCTCCGCTGCCACCAATTATATCAAATCACTCGTCTGGACCAGATGTCATTATAGCACACACAGCTTTTGATTTTGTTTGCATGAACGGGAGCCTCGTAGTTTAAACGTTTGTTGAGAAGTGTGAAATTAATTTCCACACCGGTAGCGTACTTGTTGTCAACCTTGTTTCTTTCTCAGTGGTTGGGAAACTAAGTGTGAAGGGTTATCGAAGGTGCCTATTCAGCAGAGTGAAGGTTATTAGCGTTAAGTTACAGTTCTGTTTGTATGCAAGCATTTGCTTTGGAAAGGTTTTCATGGTAAATATAGCTATAGGTTGTATCAATACAACGACAAATAAATTCGTGTCAAATAACTCTAAATAAGAAAACGATCAAAGAGGGAATGAACGAACGAACAAGCGAAATACGAAAATGAGAGAGAAATTGAGTGACAACAGACATTAGATCCAAGATCCAAAATGTCTGGAATATCTTGCGTTTCTGCTTCTTATTCTCATCAAGAATATGGATCTTAGAGTCGAAACTGATTCACAGATTATTTGAGGTTTATTGAAATAGGTGTATAATCCGTTCACATATCTCGGTTACTTCAAGGGGGGGCGAAAATGTTGTTCCGTGAGTGATAGGAGGTATAACTAAAAACACGCTGCTCGCTTTTCTGATTAAATCTATCTAACCAGTACCCCCTACGAATAACACTGATAGTGTTAAGACCACCCATTGCCTCCCACAACACCTCCCACAGTGAACTGATTACATAATTTTGGACAACGTTGAAGTTCCACGTTGTCGGTTAGCAAAACAACTTCAACGCCAACAACAACAACAACTAAAACTCTAGTTATTAAATCAATGACTTGTGAATATCCCAGTAGACGTCACTGGACAAGCTATTGATAAAAAGTAAAAATACCACACGCTAAAAACTCTCGCTACTTCCGGTGTAAAGTAGTTGACATCCGTTGTCAAGCGCTGCTCGAAACAGACAGAACTATGCCAAGTGTGCAATATCTGTGACAAAACAAAAAATATATATACGAGTCAAGTGTGTTGAGAGACTTTCAAGTGCTAAAATGTTTGAAATGGTTTAAAAACAACACGTGCGTGTGCTTCAATGTCTTAGTCAATTCTTCATTTACAAGAAGAGTCAGTCAATGCTAAGCTGAGGTTTTAATTATTGTTTGTGATAAAGGATACTTTAGATGAAATATTCTGCATTGTGTGTGTGTTGCCTGAGGACAAGGTCGAGTGTTGTTATCTCTTCGTATACTTGATATTGTATATTCAAAAAACTTCATTCACTTTTTATTAAGCACGAAGCTACTACTTAATCGAACGGTACGTTCTTCAGTCTCGAAAAATGCTTTTATTTTTCATTCAGACTTTCTTTCTTTTTTTGTTTTGTTTTGTTTTTTGTTTTGTTTTGTTTTTTTGTGTGTGTGTGTTGTTTTTTTGTGTGTGCTTTTTTTGTTTGTTTTGTTTTGTTTTTGCTTTGTTTTGTTTTGTTTTCTAATCTAATGGCTCTGAGTTCTCTTTACTCTCTCTCTCTCTCTCTCTCTCTCTCTCTCTCTCTCTCTCTCTTTCTTTTTCTCTCTCTCTCTTTTTCTCTCTTTCTTTTTCTCTCTCTTTCTTTTTCTTTCTCTTTCTTTTTCTCTCTCTCTCTCTCTCTCTCTCTCTCTGTCTCTCTCTGTCTCTCTCTGTCTCTCTCTCTCTCTTTCTCTCTTTAAGTTACATTTCATTTTGCAATTAATAATATATGAATATTATATTCATAATAACATTATTATCTAACATGGTTTTGAGAATTTTTTTAGTATCCTTTCGCTTGTAAACAAAAGCTATCTAATGCATTTACCATCGCTGGATGGAAAGCGCAATGCCTAACAGGTTTGCAACCCAATTGATAAGGCTGCCGATATAGCATCGAACTAGAACGGAACTTGTTCTAGATAAAGAATTAGAACTGTTGATCACGTCAAATGGTATTCATTCCAGTGTAACGTTTTTGATTGAAAAACGAGAAAAAGCCATCATGTCATATTCGAAGTTTGCATGAATCACTCTCACACATTCTCAATCTCTAGGTGTGTAGGTTGATATTTTCCCCAAATCAATCGATTCATTATTTAAAATATTTGACGACTTAGCCCAAACTCAGTTCTATATATCTGGTGTTTTGTGAGCCACAATCATTTTCAGGAACTGCTCAGATCGTGATTTGATTGGCCGAAACCAAGACACCATTACAATGCAAAAAAAATTGGCATGCTGCCAATATTAACTGAGGACCATTTTGAAGTGAGCAGGACGTCCAGATCAACAAAACGGAATGATTTTACCAAGCTCAGACGGTCTTGAAAAGTAACAAAAGTAACAACCATCTATCGATTAAAGTCAGCAAAAGGTTGTAGTTTGAATGATATACACTACAAAGATATTCTGTTTTGATCAGTTTGAACAACAGATTGAACTACAGTAAAAACCCGCGTATAAGAAACTGAATTTTTCAAGTTAGGATAACAAGGATAACAAGGTTCTTAAAATAGGTTCTCATATTTCCATATGAATTTCATTGAAATATATTATAAATCATGTATATTTATATTTGTACTCTATACTCTTATACAACACAGTACTTTGGCTTTAAAGCAAAAAAAAAAAAGTTTAAATATAATCAAATGATGATCCTAATTCAGTTCACTTTCTCTACCATTGTCATGTACACTTTTACATTAACTTCACTGATAAGAACCTAACTTGAAATTTTAGCTTTAATAGGTTTTTTATGTGGAGGGGGCTTAAAATCTGAAATGAGACTGAATTTTAGCCTAATGGGTTCTTAAAACCCAGGTTCTTATACGCGGTTTTTTCGACTACTAATAATAATAGCATTTATTTTAACATGATGGAATTACAGTTACAAACTGATGTGGTCGTGTGCCTAGATAATTAACCCTTTATGAAATATCCAAACCAATTTCGCTTGATGCTGCATAGACTGTATCTACGATCGCGACTAAAAGAAAACTAGCCATTGTGATTAATAATAATTATTATAATAGTAATAATGGGATGAACAGTGGATTCCACAGAGTGGCTCTTCTTCCACTGGACTCCAACTGCTATTTAGAAGTTGATCTTTATGGAGGGAGGAAAGCGGGAAAACCTGGAAAATCCTCGAAGCACAGGAGAGAACCAACAAACAACTCTGCTCACATACGACACCGAGCACGGCGGTGACCCTAGAAACCACTAAAAAAATTTGTTTTGGAATGATGATCTTGTTAAATATTGGTAGCTGCTGTCTAGACAGACATTTAGTGTATCACTGTTATTATACTAGATGCCAGCTGATACGATATTCATTGAGTATTTCCGACTGTGAGTATGACTATAGGCTTTATCAGCAGCTGCTATGCGAGTCTCTGGACAAGTATCATTCCTAGAGGCGTAAATCATTGAACTTCAACCAATTGTGTATGTTCCGTTGCTCATTTTCCCAGCTGAGGGTGTCGTCTCGAAAACGGTAAAACAGCTTGTATTGTGTCGCTTTAGTTTTCCATTGGCGCAGTGCTTCAATCGGTCTCAGTAATGGAATGAATAATTTCTCACAGCTGTGAGTGCTACTGTTCTTAGATATTTTTGGATGCTCTCTCTCTCTGCTTTTTGGTCGGTTTGCTCCTCTCTAACTCAAATGATACAGATTTATGAGTTCGTACTAAACCGGCAAGCAGTGATTCATATTTTTAGTGGTCATTCAACTTAAAATGGCATGCGCAGAAGAACAAAAAAAAACCCCCACATACACACAACTGACAAACAGCACTTTTAGACAAATTCTCTCTTATCGTAGCTCCACTAACAATTTATTGAATAGGATGGATATTCATTCAAAATCAATCAACTAATTCATTTTTTCTCGGCGTTAGAAAGACTTAATGAATCTATTAAGAGCGCTACCTGCCTTGTGTACACAAGATGAAGAACGCATTACCTAATCTACTCATTCTCCATATATATTTTTTCTTCTCGTAATTGACTTAAAATCAAAACAGTGTACAAACAAAACCGTTGATTATTGAACAACAAATTTAACTATATTAATTAGATACATTGCTTTTATTACTTGGAGAAGAAAGAATTCGTGCATATTTTTTTCCTTTAAACAAAAACAGGTATGGAAGAAAGCACGTGGTCGGTTACGCCACCGGTTGAAAACAACGGTAATTAGACTGGTTGATCGACGTCATTCTTTGTTCTTCTCAGTAGAAGTTTGCTAAATTAGCGCGAAAATTGGCCTATTTTTCCCCCATTTCCCCCCACATTTTACTCCAAACTTTCTAAACCTTTGACCATTAATCTTCATCTTTATTCTTTAGATATTCAAGTTTCGTATTCGGATTGTGCTTTGGGCTGGTACGTCTATCTTCACAGACGAGTGGTTTTGCAAATGATATAACGATATTTTTCTTGTTTTGCATAGTTTCTATTTAAAATGGTATCAAAACGTTAATGATGTTTAATAGACTATTAGTGCTCTATCAACCATGCTACCCCTCATCCCTCTGCACTTAGTAAATGTCTCGAATTTCTTCTTATGTAGCCTTAAAAAGTATGCCTTGATTTGGGCAAAATATTAATACTAAAGTGATCGGAATTCATATTGAGGCATAAAACCTATTTTTTATTTTTGGTTTCGACTCCTTTATCCACTTCATCATTTCAACATACCTCGTTGGACTAATTTTTTGCTTTTTTTATCCTAAGATACTTTATTTGATTTTTGAAGCAACCGAATCTCATGTCRAGATGGACTTGCTTGTATGGACTTCGCATGGGGTTTTAAAAGCATTTGAATTCACTGGCTTCTTCAAATAACAATCACGAAACCTAATATGCTACCAGTAAAAAAAACGTAGCCCATAATAAAGAGGAATAATTATCGTATCAATAACTTAATTTTGAAACTAGGATTACAAAAGATTAGCCATTTGAAATTCTCATTCTTTGCAGAATGTCATATTGCAATGGATGTCGTTTCCTTTTGGCCGGAAACAACTAAAAGGAACAAACCTTTGAAATCTGAATTTTGAAGAGAGATACCACCAGTTTGAGCTTCCTACAGGTGGACAGATTGTGGGTGAAAACTATACCCTGTTCGTTCATTTTCCATTCGTTTTGATCAAGAAATACATTAGAGTTTTAAAGGATAGAATGAATAATAAAATGCTTTCTTATTTGGTGTCAAAAATTAATCTTTCCAAATCAATGCAGTTATCCTTTACCAGGAACTGAAAATTTTTCCCATTATTTTGTACGCAAATGCACTAATGAAATTAAAAATAAGATTTTTAGCGCCGTATGCGGCGATCTAATTGAAAACTATCTTAACTTATCTTAATGAAATAAATGTCTATATGTACACACCCATAGGGAAACTAGAAAAAATCAAGTCGTAGGGATGCATTCCAAACGAGAGCGCAATGGAAGGCAAAACCAGAGTAAACCGAGCGGTAAATTTTTTAGAAATATAATAATGTATATGCTGCCGGTAAAGCCTTATACAGCATCCTTAGGATCCTTTTAAACAATGGCATCGACGGAATCAAGCCCTTTTGATCGAATCCCATTGCATTGGTAGTTCATGGATCTTATGGCTGCTTTGATACCGAACAAACTAGCTGGTGTCGCGGGACGCTTTTCCAGTGCAAACGAACATCTAGGTCAAAAGTTCAACTTCATGAGCATTGTTTGAATCGTACTCAAGCAAATACACTTTATCCAAGACTTTTAGAACTAGAAGTACGTATATTTCCAAATAATCTTAAAAGCTAATATCTTTAGACGCATTGGTTTACAGCCGTATTCTAAGACAAAGGGTTTTGTATAATGATATTGTTATGAAAAATTTTTACTATTTAGAAAAGATCAATTTATTATTTATCACTTTGTTTCAAAAGTGTTTTTTTTTTTTTTTTTTTTTTTTTTTTTTTTGTTTTTTTTTATCATAAGATTTTTTGCTTCGTCACTGAACTTCTTGATATATATACAGCATGCGCAAATTGGTGTAGACCACGTTCTAAAAATGCAGTCTACTGGGAGCTTGAGACAAATACTACATTCTCTTTTGGGTTCACACTTTATCAGGTTCTTATTTCATTCCTTTGTTATTTACAGCCTCTGATTGGATTATTTGTAGCCATTATGAGAGCTCCCGCTAGTTTTTGAATATATTAAGTTTTCAAAATCAAATTGGCTTAGACAGTTCAATCCAACTCATCTCTCTTTTCTACCAACGAATGCACGTCTAAGTCCATGAATTCAGCTGTGCTAGCAATTGCTGATTCAAGAGCTAAGTCGAAATAACCAAAAATTGAAAGGTTGACTAAGTTTGGAAGTACTGAGAGGTAAGATTTATAGAATGAGGTGTGTATCGGGAAAAAACCGTGGAAATAAGCAGAATCAGCAAGAAGGATTTTTGTATTGAAGGTGTACCATGCTAGACAACATCGTGATGTTTCTAATGGTCTTCACTATCACATCAACGAGGAGCGCCGGGTTTCAGGGTAGCGGTGGCGGTAGCGGTTGCATCCTTCGGTACTGTCGAGTAAGCCTGTGGTCCCCATGGACTAAGTGTTCAACTAGCTGTGGATATGCAGGAATAACCTACCGTACAAGATATAGAGTAGTCAAAGAAAAGTGTGGGGGATACTGTCAATATAGATTTAGCGAAACTAAAAGCTGTAACGTACATGTTTGTGGTGCAAGAGGATTACCCGCGGTTGGGTATTGCATCTGCTATCCTGGTTATGCTGGTGCTTGTTGTCAGGAGAACGGTGAGTTGTGATTATAATGATGATCATTATGCATGGTGATACTGATACAATTCTTGGAATAAAGCACCACATGACTCAAATTCCATTGAAGTGTAGATAGAAAAGAAACAGCCGCCACGTTGGTTGATCTAACAAGAGAAGCTAATGAGGAATGCTTTGTTATCGACAACCAAGATGGCGGCTATGATGTAACATACACCCCAAGAATATGATGACGAAGATAATTGTATATGTTGATGGTAATACATAATAGTACTAATGATTCCATTGATGCATGAACATCATGATGAAGATGAAAATTATAGATGAGGATGATTCTTATGCGGATAAGAATACATGCATGATGGTGATGATAAAGATACATAATAATGATGTTGATACATGATGATAATGGTTTTTTTATGACTGATACATGATGGTACTGATGATGATCGCCTAAAGGTTCGCCAAAATACTCCGTGATTCGTAAAAATACACAGCCGTATCAGATTCTTAAAGCCGACTGATAACCCTCTAATAATTGAGCAGTATACGTATTTCTTTGTTTATCAGAAAAGCTACAGATCTTGTTGNNNNAGTTTTTTTCTTTCTTTTGAATTTCGAATGGCTGAAGTTTCAAACCGTCAAAAAATATTATATAATTTTTCCGAGCACTAGACCTCTTATGACTTTATATTTACAGAATATCTCTAAATTTGTAAAGTYAGCGACAAAAAAACTGCTGCTTTGTTTGAATTCCACCTACTGATTCGTTGTCACGGAGAATCTTTTGTGAAAATATAATAATATGAATAGAGTAGTCATTGAATCCGCGTAAAAAGGCATCTAAAATGGCAGTAAAATGGCTTTGTTTGGCTTCTTACCATGTGTAAAGAAAATATCAGAAAAACACCTTAAAGGAAAGCTTAATTTTCTTCAAGTGTTTTGGTTATTTTTGGTTGTCGAGTTAGTTCGAGCTAAGCACTTACGAGCAGAAACACATGGAATCTAACCATATTATTCTGATATAATTAACTCAGTCAACGACAAATGAGTTTGAAGTATTGTGAGCACTAATTGTTTAGCTACAAACTATTGAAAATAAAGTCATAAAAATTAGCAACTCTTAAGATGAAACAGCTGTAAACTGTAACTCGTGGCCTTGTTTGAGAAGAGCAAACATATCTAAGCATTATGTAACCTAAGAAGACACGGAAACTTTTAGAAAGTTAACTTTTTCCACTGATTGTCAAAGACATTTGAAAACTGTTTGTGAATAAAATCAAAACATTACAAACAGAATTTGATAAATATTGAGTGTATAAAGCTAAGAAAGGCTTCACTTCGCAACGAAGACACGCTTGTGAAGAGAAACAGTCAAAATCACGTGATAGCATGGAAAAACCTTCACCACCCTATATCCCTGGCGATTCCTTTGTTTTCTTTCATCATTACGTATGAAGTAAAATTTTTAATATTATTGATAAGAATTTTGAGTTTTATCTATAACATTTTTTTTTTTTTTGAGAAAAATTAAACTAGTAAAGGCTATGCGAAAGAGAACAACAATCTTTACATGAAACAAAATCCCCCTTTTTGTTATAATTTAAAATTAAGGCGTCGGAAGATTTTCAAATTTTATTGCCGATAGAAGACCACATATCTAAAGTCTCTACAATAATATGAAATTGAAAAACAATGATAGTTAAAGAATTTCGAGGCACGTCGAGCCATTTTGGTTCAATGAATTGAAGTATAAATTTGAAAGGAGGGCATTCTATATTTCACTGACTCCAAATCAAACATTCATAACCTTCATCGCAAAGCATTTACCACGGGTTGGCTATTTCAAGATCCATATGGGTTCAAACAGGTACCTGTTTTAAAAGCCAGCTAATATATAGAATGGCCAAAGATTATACTCTGGAGCCAGCCAGCGTCCATCTAACTGGTCTGCTTCAGTATCGTCTGGGACTATTCCCAATGTTGCAGTGAGGATGGTTCAAAGACATGTCTCTTTACTAGATAAAATTGTAACTATCAAAAATGAAACCATGCAGCCTATAATAACTGTCGATCAAATTTTTCCCCTTTATTTCCTATATGGCTCCATCTTTTCATTGTGAAAGACAGGGATTGATTATTTTTTGATAAATTGAAATGTTTGCAAATAATCCAATCAGTTCAAGAGCTTTATATATCGTCTCGTCATCTCGTAAAGTTTTCGACCGCCATTGGAATATTACATGTAAATTTGTGGTAGATAACAAAACATTATAATGAAGTTGTTGCATCCCATTGTCAAAACTGACAAATGCATAAATCTTATTTAATGCTGTCATTAGAAAAATAAAAGAAATTCCTCCAATTTTGTTCTTAATTTTTCCAATTTTATTAAACAATTCTTTTACCATTTTGTTTGGATTCAAGACTTGGACGGCCATTTTATATACATTTCTGAAAGTTTTAAAGTTTTGTGTTATATATACTAGTAGTAGGGTCTCCTTTTGAATTTTCATAAATTTTTTTGGGTTAATCATTATGATACCAACAGAGGTATTTCAATAATTAATGAACTGCAATTCTTTTAGGTCTCTCTCTTTTTCTGTTGTTGAATCCTAGTGTCTATTCTAGCGTTATAATGTTTTGTTTTGCTTTATTACTTTACTTCTCAGCCATGGCTTTGTTCACTTGCCCTTGGTTCCGTATTATCTAAAGAGGTGTCCCGCAAGGCCCAACTACCCTTAGAGAATGCCTCATTCAAACTTCCAGGTATGACCTGCTCTGGGAAGCCAAAAAACGAAAAATCACATGGGAATTGTCAAGAAAACGGCCTCTACCAGATGCTTTGTGGATAAAAAAAAAAATCCATTCCCAGAATCAATTCCGTCACTTTTCGCGTATAATTTGACTGGTAGTATAGAAAATGACCCTTCATTACCTTTAGATTTTTATTTAAAATTTTATTTCTTTTAATTTGAGTATATTTTCTTAAAGTTAGAAATTTCCCTTGAAACCATTTTTTTAAGTATTTTTGACGTTTTATTTTTGATTGTTCTTTTTAAACCTAGCCGGTTTTTTTCGATCACATTAACCCCAAAAGCAAAAGCACTCATCTTGGGGGTCTACGTAATTCTAATTTTCCCAACTACGAACGGACATTGTACTACTATGGGAAATTGAAGCATTTTCCAGTAAAAAATATTAAGGAAAATATTTAACTAATTATGAGAAGAAAAAAGGTTCAAAAGTTTTTCATCTATTGCTATACCGTTTTGGCATGAAAAATTACAGACGAAACGAGATATCGCGTTCAGAGCGGAAGAGCTAATTTCCTTATTTTTTTAAACTTTAGTTTAAAAGCAGATATCAATAGCTTGTTAATATGATTAACATCTTAGTTAAACTGATTAAACTTGAAAGCCTCTTAAATTCGTAAATTCGATTTATGTTACATACGTGCACAACTAGCTACGAAGCTAGATTATTTTTATTCCTGTTCATATGCCATAAAAACGTAAAGTTCTCCAAAACATTTTGATTCTAGTAGCTTTTTTGAATCTAACTATTTTTCTTTCTTTTACCGGGATTTGTTCAAGCTTCGAAAAGCTCATTGTTTGTGCTGCGTGTTTTTTTAACGAACATTGTATGAAATACGCTGGTACAGAAAGAAAGATATGAAATCGACGTATCATTCTATGCTTGCCTTCAATTTGAAGTCATTCTGTCGGATTCAGAGAATATTTAAAAGCGATGTAAGTGTACCTGCTAAGTGATCAGTAAGATCGTTCGCTTCACTGAACTCTCTGGTGCAAACTGGTTGTTTAAATACCCGAGAAATTAATTCCAACCAAGGCGAAGTTTAAAATTAAATATATAAACAGATATGATTTGTCGATGTTCTGGCATCGAAGTTTTAAGTCCCTTAAATGTTTGAGATTCACAACGACGAAAAACTTTATTTAAACGAAGAAACCAAATGAGGTGACCGAAAAAAGATTTTGCTTTTTTCATTTATTATTAATTTGAACAGTCTTTTAATTTCGTTTATTTGGAGGAATAAAAACATCTTTTCGAAGAACTTCTATCTAGTTACCCGAAAAATTCAATTCGTCATTTTTTTCTTTTAGTTTAACTTTTTGGAACGATGATCGTAAAGAAAGCAAGCAAAAGTAAACGAAAATTAACGAGAAATTCCATCGAGACTTTTCTGGCCCTTGAAATGGAAACCAGAAGGCCTCATGGTACCCGTTAAGCTTTTAAAATACACTGCGCAGTGAATTCAACAATACCAAAAAGGTTTTAAATGACCCTGATAAATTAAAAGTCAGGCCGTGCGCCTATCCGTCTCTTCTGAGGGCATCTCCGGAGAAGTCGTTGTCCTTAGACTACCAACGGCTTAGGAAATAGAATTAGACACATTTTGTGCTAGCTTTACTTGGGGAAGATATCAAAGGTTACTTTTCTTAGTAGACACTATTTTTATCGAGAATGGCAAGAAAAGATAACTTACAAAAAAACAAGACTTAACGAAATTCATGTATGGATGCGGATACAAAAGAAAGAAGATTCGTAACATATCGGTTTTAATCGTTGCATTTTTCGTAAAATTGTGACGCATGGCATGGCTAGGTTGTATATCGGAAGGTCGAATTCCTTTATTTCCTTCAGGAAACGAGATGTTTCTAACCAGCGCTTAACAACGGAAATTCCTTAGCAAGATGTCAATATATTCCGATACAATACGAACATAGTATCAGTCAACTAATCAGTAAAAGAATTACCAATAGAAATGCAAATGTTGCACTTGTACTTGTTAAGCAAGTGGAAGCTTTAACTCCTTGGGATTATGAATCACACATACAAGATCTAGACATCCGCGTTAAAGAGTTAGAAATACTTAGTTTTGACTTCAAAAAGAAACATTCCATTAACTTGTTCAAGTTCAATGCTTGCTTCATTAAGCACAAAGCAATCGCTTGGTAATAGACGTCTTTGTTCGGGAGAAATTTTAATTGCTAGTAAAGAGACTTTATTTTTTAGTTCCATCTTCTGAATCAAAGCTAAACACCCTATTACGGTCGTTCCCCGGTTATCCTCTGTCAAATTCAAACACTTTAATTAACTGATAGAAAAAATTAAGTAGATTTACTAGGTGGATTTTCGCTTGGACGAAGAACCCACGAATACTTTGTTCATTTATTTTGCCCATTGTACCGTAAGCTTGAAGTATTGAATAACGAATATTACGGAAAACTAGCGCACCTGTTTTTCGCAATGCACGTGCCTCATCCTGCGAGCAAGTGGTTTCGACTGGTGGTTTCTTACTTCACGGCAACACTTGCACAATATGCGAGCGTTGCTATGGTCGAAGTAGCGGCAGCCTGCCCATAGAACAATGGCCTATCACTTCAGAATCCTAATTGGGTATTCGAAACAAAGGCAATTTTTACTGATTATCAACTTTTTCTTTGCTCTGTCTTCGAGTCAAATATGCCCCGAAAGTACGTAAAAGACAATGAATGAATTTCTAAGCAAACAAGTGAGCCATTTAAAGATAGACTTCGAAAATGAGCAACAGAAATGATAAAACTGTCAGTAATCGAGCTCTGGAAGTCCTATAAGCTTTTAGTTTGAGTTTGGTTTCATTTTGTTGATCGGAAGAGAATTTTTGGTCAAGAATCAATAATTCAGAAAGCATGGCTTGTCAATAGGTTTAACCTTTGTCTGTCAACATAAAGTGAACAACAAATTAATCATTTACTATGATAGGAAAAATTGGATTCAAAATCTTCGATTCTAAATCGTAATTTTTTGAAAAGAAAAAAGAGAAAATTGAGCTCCATTAAAGAGTATTTAAGTCGCGCACCCGTGGGATAGATTCCTGAGAAGAAAGAAGAATCCCCAGCAGTGAGCGCATTTTTTCTTCTTTAAAACTCCAAGTCACTTCTAGCCTTCCTTAATTCGATAGCTATTTGACACCCTGGCTGTGATTGGTTAACAGCACTTGCCACTAGCAATGAACAGGCTTTGAACAAACTACTTCTCCATGCATGCGCAATTAACCAAAGTGCCTAAATTGCTCCAATCGGAGCCATGCGCTAGCGGTATTGTAACTTACGTTTTATTATCCATGGCTGGAACCTGCGGGTTATTTGAAAAGCCCTGATAGGAGTGAAACAGGTCTTTAATAAATTAATAGTTGAAATTAGTACAGGGGAGCCGTGCTAAGTCTTTGTTCACAAGTGATCAACAGCTATTCAGTTAGGCACTAGGTGAGGCTTAACTGAGATTCACAAGTGAGGGAATTGTTTGCCGTCAGTCTTGGCTGCACCTGTCGAGGGCCTATAATAAGACCTGCCTCCATGCACACAACTCACTTCACTGGTTGATTAGCCATCGTGTAGGTCAGTCAGTACAAGAACCTTCTCGTCCGTGCGTGGAACTCTTCTTAATACTCAACATTCGACTCCTCTTCTTCACTATATACACAATATTCAGCTTCAGTCTTAAACCACTGTAAAATGCCTCGATCATTCCTTATCAAGAAAAAGGAATTCAAGAAGCCTTGCTACAATTCTTTTGGTAAGTACTAGTAAATTATTTTTTATCTTTTAAGCCTGGTTAATTGCTTGCTGTTTTGTTGCTTTATTAACGTAATACGCCAGGGAACTTAGATTTTCTCCTCGGCGCTTCCACTGAAGTAATTTTTCAAAATCTAGCGCAGAATGACAACTGCACTTTCTTAGTTTGTTCAGTTAAAATTGTACTGAAGTTCCATTTGATTTAACGAACCCTAACGCACCATTATGTAGCTTTTTGACAACTTTACAACTTTCCTTTATTGTGAAAATTCTTCCTTAAATAATTATCACTTAAGATAGCGGATATGAGCGGATAAAACAGAACAATAGACGTCTTTTATAAACTATAAAAAGGAAATAGAGTATGTTACATATGGATGTCCACATAATCTAGCGAATAAACATTTAAGCCTTTAAATCAGAAACGAAGAGTTCCTAATTTATCAGTAGTGGAAGTTGTCTTTTTTTCCTTTACGAGAATTTTTAAATTTTTGGCTGCAAATGGAACGTCCAAAAATTACTGTACCAACACAATCAACTTAATTGTAGTTTCGACCAAATATTCCAAGCTAATTTGAAAGAAAATCGAGCAAAATATATTAGTTATCCCTTCAAGTATTGACTAAGTGAATTTGACGCTGAATAATTTATTCTGATCTGGAAAAGTTCAAACTCAAATCTTTCCTTTCAATGATTTTCTGTAATATTTCTAAAGAATGACTTAAGGCTTTTGAAATAATAAGTTTTTTAAAAAAWTTTCTACTTATTTGGACTATAGATATAGTGAAATATATATTTTTTCGTTTAGTACATTCTTATGAAGGCCGCGATCTAAAGCTACGTGTTGTTTTTACTGTTCGTTCTCAGTCATTGACTTTGAGTTAAAAAACGCAGGAAAATCTTGATAGCCATGGTCTGTTGCTTTGATTTTTTTTATTTTTTGAGAATCTGTGTAAGAGAAAACTTCAAATTGCAAACGGGTCCTTTCTTTAAAACAAAGACAATAAGCCATAAACCATGATTATTATAGTATGGTATTTACACCAATTAATTATTCATCACTTCTGAATAAAATGTCGTTTTTAAAAGATCATTTCGTAAAATGAACTGTTTAAGCAACTTCAATTAACTCGCTTTTTAAAGTAATCACTGATAAGTCTTTGCCAACTGTCAGTGAGCCGACTTCGGTGCCCGTTCACATGCAAGGCGGTAGGCAAAAAATGTCTCAGAATGTAGCCAAGTGGTCGTCATGATCCGTTGGTTCTCGTCGCAAGAGCTTACTAACCAGTCGCTTTCAATCACTTTAACCGTATTTTATAAACCTCGCCCATCAATCGACTCAAAATGGCAGGCGAGTCAGGATAGGTAGCTAATTAGCACTTTAAGTCAGCTTCCAGCTTCAGCCATGTCTAATTTTAATGCGTTTATTTTCCGAGCAAACAGACTATTGTGCATGTTTCTGGGGTTTTAAATTCCTGACAATTTGACAGCCCTTTTGCGGTTTCGAGCTGTTCTATTCATCATTGAAGCTTAATCTAAAGAGAAACCACAGCCAGACTACATAAATTTAGGACTATCCGATATCCGATAACATTAGTCATTGTATACAGGAGAAAAAAACCGAAACTTTTTTATTAACAAAAGCTACACAAGATGTCGTCATGAAACATGATTCTTGTTGTGCGACGACACCTATTCCTTTACATTTAGATTTGTAATTCAAAATCTATATACCCTTTTCAAAGCCTTTTACTCGTATACTTGTATTCTTCTGGAAGTTCTGGTTCAACTCATATTTACCAACTCTTTATTTTTTAATTTTCAGAAATGGTCGCACACACTCCACCGACAATTGAGGACATGGTAAACCGTGGATATGCCGTCAAGTTTCTTGTTCCAAGTCCAGAGCTAATGGAACCTATTCGAATAAAGGAGCAAGTACCAGTGGTAGTTGTCCCCCAGGCTCCTCTAGAAACAGTTGATCATTCGTGGGCGACAAAGGCAACAAAAAGGAGTAGCTCACCAAATGACTTAGAGTCCCCAAAAGAAGAAAAAGAGATGGATAATGGCGATAAGCCATACACCTGTCAACATTGCAGTAAAGTCTTCACGCGTTCATGGAATTTCCAGCGTCATGTTCTCATTCACACTGGACAGAAACCCTACAAGTGCCAAAAATGTCCCAAAGCCTTCGCTCTGGCTGCGCACTTAAAGATCCACAACAGAATTCACACAGGAGAGAAACCCTACACCTGTAACATTTGCTGCCGCGGATTTGCGCAACTAACAAACCTGCAGCGGCATATTCTCACACATACCGGAGAAAAGCCACACAAGTGCACCTACTGCCCCAAAGCCTTCGTCAGCTCAAGTGACTTGAGGAGACATGTACGCATTCACACTGGAGAAAGGCCTTACAAGTGTAAACAGTGTTCCAAGGCCTTCACAACCTCGGGCAACCTTCAATCACACATTTTGACTCATACAGGAGAAAAGCCTTACAAGTGCAGCATCTGCAACTGGAAGTTCATCAGTTCGAGCAATCTTCGTACTCACATTCGTATACATCATTCGTATTACACTGACAAGGCTGCAAACCAAACACAGCAGTCTCAACAGAACGGATCTAACCACTCTAAGGACCAAGAAAAAACCAGAGACAATATGCCATTTAAGAGTTTAATGGACTCTCAATCGGAGCACGTTTATTCCTATTAAGAATAAAATAATCCAGATTACATGTCTATATATATGAAATGGTAAAATTTTCAAATAATATATGTATTATACTTATATATACATATATAAAATTATGATCTCTATATGTTTATATTTATACATAGTTAAWTATAAGGCCGGTTTGTAAAGACTAATGCCGGGCTTGAAAATTATTTTAAGAAAATGTTGAGTATTAAGAAATTGAAACTGATAACAAAATTTGTTGATATAAAAACTATTCTTCCAACGTGAAGAGTGTTTAAAATAGAATTGAGAAATTATGGGTGCGTATATTATATAAAGCTTTTTTCCATGTTCTTCCAACGTGAAGAGTGTTTAAAATAGAATTGAGAAATTATGGGTACGTATATTATGTAAAGCTTTTTTCCATGTTCTTCCAACGTGAAGAGTGTTTAAAGTAGAGTTTGGAAATTATGGGTACGTATATTATGTAAAGTTTTTTTCCATGTTTGGGTTGGTAGATAGTGAGAGAATACTAGTAGCGGTATGATTAAGTTGTAGCGAACTAGTCATTTGGTCGCTTAGACATGGCAGCTGCTAAAGAGTTGATTAAAGCTCGGTAAACCAAGCTGTTAATTACTCAATGAATATAAATAAACAAAAATTAAATTAAATACACTGGTTGTGCTGGGTATTGCTTCAAAGTAAAGAAACTGGTGTTTTTGAAGCTTTTGCTTTACATGCCGGATAATTTATGTTTAAACAACGAGGTTCGCCTAACATATCCAAATATGTCTTTCAACATTTCTTATTCTTTATTCTAAAATCTCTTTTTTCACTTCAAATATTGTCGTACCAACCGTCTCTATGGAGTAAAAGTAATCTAAAAAGAAATATTTTGAATGATTGAACCTGTTTAATCTGTTGTTAAGAAAAAAGTGCTTGCAAAAGAAAAATGCATTGGTTGGTTAGACGCGTACGAATTTTCGTTTGATTATTGTGCAGACTGATCGATCATGATCTTATTGGCTTTTTACCAACTAGTGCCGAGTCTCACGCGTCTACCGTCTAGTAGTGATTATCTGTTTAAGGGCACCTGATGTGGCAAAGGTATGGCTTGAAAACAATCGGTCATCTCAAACAATACTAAAAAAACTCCTTCCATCTTGTGTTAGGGATGACCTATTGGGGCGAGTGTGGGACCTCATAGTGGGCTCTTTATTTGAAGCTATATCCAAGCGTTTCTAAGACAAGTTAAATACTTTTTCCTTGGAGCAATCGCAAACACAATAACCCAGAACGCTGTTGTTTGGACACCTCTTCTAAGTAAATAACTTATAATAAACCACAATTATGCTGCAATGAATTTGTTTGATCATAATTCCTGCCTGCACGCGTGTTAAATAGCCTAGCTCCAAAATCAATCTCATTTTCAAAGTTCCGTTTGTCTAAAAGATTACAAAGAAAATAACAAGCTTGATTACAATCGAGACCCCCCAAGAAATGGTCGGCCAAAGATGCGTTTGAAGCGGTTTTTGAAACGTTTCTGCATTTGTCTAACTTCACAAACCCTAYTGTTGAAGTGAGTAAACCAACTATCAGTCCCGACACCTTGAATGAATGGGACTCGTGCAAATGAAAGTGGTCAAGTAAAAAGTCAGATTATTGCCGGTTAGATCAATTAAGAGATTTACTAAATGTTAACTAAAAAAACACCTAGTTGTACGCCTAACTCTAACACTTTCACAAAAACGTTTACACTTTCAGAATTGAAATTTTGAAAGTAATATGAATAAAAGAAAATAAGGTACTTTGGTCGGCACATTTCACTTTCCGTGAACTCATACAAAGTTATAATTGCTTTGATCTCAAAAGTGTTCTTCGTTTTCTAAGCGGTAATTTTCCCTTTTCTAAATCCCTATGATGATTATTCTCTAATTTTTTTTATTTTATAAAGAGTGAATAACGAGAGCCTCTTGAGAAACAAAAGAACAAAGACCATCAGCCTGAGAGGACTTGGGGACAGCTGTGAGTCGAGTAGGTCTGAACAAGTAGTATGTTTACAACACATCTACAAAACATTTTTCTAAGGTTCTAAGGTTCTTAGGAAGAAAACAATATCAGGACGTAATAGTGAAAGTCAAACTAAGTGCTTTCTTATTTTATGAATTTTATTAACAGATATGGGATTGGAAATAAAACGATAACGTTTTCCAAAATTCATTGCAAAAGGGAATAGGATTAGCTTTGCATTTGCGTCGAGCCCAACGGAAAGTTCTTAGGCTGACACGATACCAATGCAGGGACTTCGTGTTCGGAAAACTGGAGAATATGTCATTATTGCTTATAATCATTAATTATAGCCTTGTGGTTGTTATGCTTCTGCTTAATAAGAGGTGTATACTTCTCAATTAATGAATACAGTAGGACTACAATTGCCTATCAAAGCAGGTGTTGTATTGTTTGGATGTCAGACAACTTCTTTAGACAAAGCACTGAACTATACTTCACTATCTAATAAAGTGTAAGCTGGCATAAGAAGCATTTAATGGATTAGAAACGAAATCTAGTGGGGTTTTTTTTTATCTTGATCAAAACTTATCATATCATCTGAAAACAATCACACAAAAGCGGATTTATAAAAATATCGGTTATCATCACTAAGTGTGGTCGAGTTGAGGTCGGGCATGAGCAGTCGAGACTAGGGTCGGTCAATGTGTAGTGCAAGTGTGAATCATTTTTAGGAAGTCTAAAAAAACCTTCGAATTTTATCGCACCCTGAAACTTAACAACCTCTGAGATGCTTATCAAAGTCAATGGACGGCCGCACTTACAGATCGAATTTGATTTTTGGAGGTATACAAAACGGCTTGTACAAACATCACCTTTTGTTTCCGGGCAATATTGTGCTACTCATGATACAAATGTTTACTCTGTTAAAAAAAAAACAAATAGTGTGCAAGCATACAAGCCTTTTTCCATGATTTTTTTTTTTCAGAGTATATAAAAAAGGGAAGTATACATAGCAAACCGGCTATAATCAGCAAGAAAAAGCACAAAAAATTGTGCAAGCATACGAGCATTTCTCAGTAAAAAAAGCTCATGGGAGAGCATAGCAAGCCTATAATCAGTAAGAAAAAACAACGAATATTGGTGCGAGCATACAAGCTTTTTGTTAGTACAGATAAAAACAAATAAAACCAATATACTCTGTGATACTCTGTTAAGAAGGACAATAAACAAAGGATATCATGCCACAAGAAAAGGGACCACAAGTACTTCTGCTCTCTTCACTGATCAAGCTCAGAAAAGCTCTGGCAAAGAAAGCTTTGGGCTTTGTTTCCAGAACCATGCGAGCATATCGATGTTACGTTTTCTCAGTCAAAACAACATACAAACATTACCATGCAAGGAGCATTTAAAACGATGTGTAAAAAAAAACAAGGGACCACGTTTGGTATCTGAAGAGATAGTCAGTAAGTTGGTAACGCAATATCGTCAGGTCCTCAAGCTTTTAAGCTTTAAAACTAGCTCTAATCACGGAATGTCAAATTAAGATAAAAAGCTATTCTTTAAGGCCCCGTCCACACGTATCCGGAAGTTTTTGTATCCGCAAATTATTTTTTGCGGATACGAAAATGTTTGCGTCCACACGCAGCGTATTCGAATCGTTTTCACCGTCCACACGTATCCGTTTTCGTAAAATTTGAGGATAAAACGGACACAAAAATTTCCGGACACGTTTGGACGCAACCCTTATCCGTATAAAAAATTWAAAAAATTGCGTATACAAAAATTTCCGGATACGTGTGGACGGGGCCTAATGCACAAAACATAAGCGTTTTCAAAATAACAGGGACGTTCGGAGTAATTTTAAAAGGCGGGAGAGACTAAAATGGTAATTAAGGTGTAGAGAGTTGTGACGTACACTCAAGACCAGATCAAGACGGTACCGCGCCGGCACGCATGCATAGCACAGCATTCTTGTTTCACGAGGATAGCATTTAATATATATCCAATGGCTGACAAACATGTGACCCTCATTCCATTATCGACATTAATATTTCTTTTTAGCTCATTAGCTTGAATTAAAATGGCTGAAAAACAGGAGGGCGCCATAAATAGATAACATCCCGAGCGGAGGCTATCAAAGGAGGAGGAGACACATCAGTGGATATCTTACCACAAGCTTTAAAATATCATCTGGTTAGAAAAAATAATAGAGAAATCTACTTTCGAAGCACAGGATAGAACCATACAGGAAAACCAACTCTACTCGTATGCGATGATGGGTGTGAGGGCTGGACTCACAATCACAACGTTGAGAGGCGTGGCACTTTGAGTGATATTACGTACAGCGCTTCTACTTCATGTACTCTCCATTTACAAGTATTTCTAATTTTAAACCTCCTATTACGATAATGTTAATAACATTTCTAAACAAATTGTCCTAGTTGAAGATGTCAGACAATGTAATTTTTCTCCGCTGGCAAGCGGTTATTTTAGTTTGCTGTAAATAGCAATATAAGTATCCGTATCACGTATATTACTAAGCTTGTAATTTTCAAAATGTTGGACTTTAACTTTCTGGTTTTTCCTCCCTCGCTTAATTTTCGCTCATTAAATTTCCACGCTAGTTTTTCTTGCTTGCATCTTGGACCGTAGGCAGTCTGTCTGGCTGTCTGTCTGTCTCAAAAATCCCCCATCAAAAATACGATCCTGTGGGTAGCCTGTGGTTTCATTATAAAAGATAGCTTCTGTGATTGGTCAATAAATATATACAATCACCTGTTTTGTTTGACATGCGGAACGAGAGACGTATTTGCATGCGTACAAAGAGTGAAAAATACGCTGCCATTCGCTTGGAACAAATCGAACAAAAACGTAGACGGGATCTAAGCTTCGAACGGTTATCTAGTCGGCTTACAGACACGGTAAACAACGAAACGAAAAATTCATTTAAGAATGCTCAATAGAGAAATACTGTACGACAGGCAAGTCTTCGTATAGATCTTACTCCAGTTCCTTGTGCAATGAATTAAGACATTCACAATCATTCATTCAGCAAATGCCAGCTTGGAAAATGCTTTATGAGTTATAGTTCTAGAAGGATTATGATCATCCAGCCCGAACGAACTTGATGCAGTAAACTATTCAAAATATTTCTTTTTCAAACTGACCCCTTATTTATTCTATGACGCAGCTAAGGTGGGTAAGTATGTCGATTTCTGTAAAATACATTATTTAAGATCTGTATTAGTTAGGGTGTTTGTGGTTTATGGATTGAAACCGTTGTGTTTCTTGAATTAAAATCTTATCACAAGCGAGTGTAGGTTACATGGGTATTATGAGGTCAACTGGGGCTGTGTTCACTTCAACCAAATTAATCATTTGAGGAGAGGTTCTTGATTTAGAGTTAAATCATGATCTTAACTGTACATCAATGTGCTCAAGCCAGGGACTAACCGAGCTAATTTTAGCCTTGGCTTTGAAATTTGAACGTATTGAAATAATCTTCCTAATATTTGCATAGATGTCGTTGTTGTACAACCAAGTTGTATAATATGTAAAAACGAAACGATTTGATTTAAGACACAGTTATGATATTCATAATATTATTCTACATTTATTCCAAGGAGGCGTTTGGAATAACCGAGGTCTTGTTTGGTGCTTTATAACTGTCTACAAGAAAAATCATTAGCGTAATAGACCACGTCGAAGTACACAACTAAAACACATAATGATACGACAAGCAAGCATCGAAGACAACTACGATTACCTATTCAAAGTTGTGCTTATCGGAGATTCAGGAGTTGGAAAATCTAACCTGCTTTCTCGCTACACCAAGAATGAATTTCATTTAGGATCTAAAGCGACGATAGGTGTGGAACTTGCTCACAAGAATATCGAAATCGAGGGGAAAAATGTACGTGCTCAGGTGTGGGATACTGCAGGTGGGTAAAGTGTACACTATTGTGACATTTATTTCTTTTATATGATCACACATAATCGTTTTTTTGTTCTAAAGAGAGGAGTATTATAAAAAAGCATTTATAAAGACGAACGCGATTGATGAAATATTTGTCATAAATAAAGATTTCATAAAGATCAGAAGCTCGAAAACTTATTTAGGCATTGATTCAAGAGTAATGTCAGTTTACAAATCCGCGTGAATTTTCTGGCTTTTATTTTGACTACATGTACACTCGTTGAAGGTTGTGTTTCATCACAATAATTTATTCATATTTCATAGCAACTAAAACTTGATTCATTCATAGAGAAGTATTTAATATCGGCGCGATGTCAATCACTTTTAATTTTACACATTTGGCGGCATAAGAAAATAAATGACAGAAAGTCTTGCCCACTACGTAAACCATAAATGTTTATTAAAACAATTAAAAAAATAGTTGAATAGCAAAAAAAGTCTTGGATGAAAGCATTGAAGTGATTTTGCTAGAAGCAAAAATAAACATGACAAGAGACGGATATTCAGAAGACGATGTTTACATTCACGTAATAGCTTGTTTAACTGGATAATTTATTCAGAGCATTTTAAATGCAATTTGTTTTGTTCAAAAGATATCTTTATAATTGTTGAAATGTGAGAACAAGGTTTGTTTATTACACGAGCATTCCACTTCATAAGTATATATGATTTTAATTTTAAAAAAGAAAGAAAGCTAGAAAAAAATGTGTTGACAGCTCTGTCTTTATTTTAGCTTTACAATATATAAATTTTAGAATAGATATTTTTAAATATCAAATATTTTTTATGACAAAGGCCGTGTAAAATCTCACGAGAAAAAAAAAAATAGCAAATTTGCTATCGAAGAACGAGTTTTAAGAATGTATAAAAAGCAAGATAATTTGATTATTGAGAAAATATTGATTAAAAAGAGTGTGGAATCTTAAAATATATGTGTGATAACTAAATGAAGCTTAATAATAACTAAAATATAATCATGAGAATGCTGTTTACAAACCTTTGACCTCAAGGTTGTTTTATCTTTGCTGGAGGCATCGTCTTCAGTGCTACTTGAATTCTTGAGTCTCGTATCTGAAGAGTAAATACCTCTGTACTCTCAAAATTCAACTAACTGGGAATTCATTAAACCGCATATTAATAGATTGATTATTTTGCCATCTGCTCGTTGAGTTTGGAATTTCCAAAGATATGGTATTAAGCAGAACAAAGCAAGATTTCTTGCAAAGCTTTTCGCCATGTTTGCCATGCTGGTTTTGCAAGTCTGCCCGCGTTGGTGCTCAGCGGTCTCTCTGATAAATGAGATTTTCTCTGCCAGTGTGTGTGTGTTATCTTTGCTTTTATTGCTTTAAATCTATACTAAATCAGTTTTAGATCTTTAATTCCAAAAAATATCATATACAACTGAAATACTCTGTCATTTTCAAACTAAAATTTTTGAACTTTTGAATTTTTGAAAAACTGAACAAAATGTCTGCGGCGAAATGGCGCGAAGCCGAATCCTGTAATATGATTGGACAGAATAGCTTCGTCACTGAGCTGGCAACATTCTTAATTTGCAATGTGCTAAATTTGTCAGCTAAAATCGTTGCAAATCAATTATTTAAAAAGAAAAAGGAATTAAATCATACCGTTCATGAAGGGAGCATTTCATTTTTCATTTTGATTCTTTCGTTTCATCTTATTTTTGCCATTATCGTCGTACTTTCTCCTTTTCAGCATTAGTTAGGACTTCCTTTGTGAGGACTATTGCAAAGAAAGTTATTACTGCATCTAGCTTGAATTCTTAGTAATTAAAACTCTCTCTCTCTCTCTCTCTCTCTCTCTCTCTCTCTCTCTCTCCAATGTCTTGCTTGGTGTTTGTCAAGTTAATCGATAAACAACTAACCTTTTTTTCTCCGTTCTTTATCAGGACAAGAAAGATATCGCGCCATCACAAGCGCTTACTATCGTGGAGCCTTAGGTGCTATTCTGGTCTACGACATTGCAAAAGGCACATCGTTTCTCAATCTAGACAAATGGATCCAAGAGTTACGTCAGCACGCAAGTGAAGACTTATCTGTAATTCTAGTGGGTAATAAATCTGATCTTAAACACCTGAGGATGATTGAAGCTCGTAGAGGCAAACAATTCGCTGCCGATAATGGAATGCTTTTTATGGAAACCTCTGCCTTGGACTCGACTAATGTAATTGAAGCTTTTGAGAACATATTTCGTCATATATACGATAAAGTCAAAGCTAAAGAGCAAGAGAAAACAGGACAAATGCTTAAACAAAGTAACGGTTCATTAGATGTCATAAGACCTGTAGAGCTTAAAAAACCATCGGATGGTTATGCACAGGGGGCTAGACCAACAAAAGCGCCGTGCTGCACAACAGTGTAGTAAGATCTTGCACGTTATAAAATGTAAACACTTTATTATTTATCTTATAATTTTCATTATCATTATCAGGAAAATCCTAGGCAGGTGGTCGAGAATTAGGAATTGTAGCCTCCCAGATATACCGTTGACCAAGATTTTAGCGTCCCATGCAGATATACCGTTGACCAAGATTTTAGCCTCCCAGATATACCCTTGACCAAGATTTTAGCCTCCCAGATATACCCTTGACCAAGATTTTAGCGTCCCAGATATATCGTTGACCAAGATTTTTCCAGAGATACTTTTGGACCGAATATCTGGTCGTTAACAGAGTTGCAGAAAACCATGAATTATTCTATTTTTCCATTTCCGATATGCTCCATGCAGATGATGGTATGGGTCTTTTTTCCCCAATAGTTGAGAAAATCTGGGTGGGTTGGCCTGGAAACAGTAGTGCCCTGATTCACCGGTCGTTTAGGATTTTACCCTCCACTCGATCGGAAACAAAGCATACAGTAAAAGCTTGGTAAAAATACAACTCTCAATCATGTGACCAAGAACACTTAGGTCTTCTCTAAATTCAACAATGCCTCAAAGGCACGAATAACAAAATATATTTTAAAGTCTACACCCATGCTAGACCACAGTGCACAGCGAGCCTCATTCGGTATTAAGAGCAAGTCATGGGCAACCCCGTAAGTCAACCAATCTAGGAAATTAAACGTAATGCAGGTTATACCACGTGGTATCTCACCAAAAGTGCGTGATAAATTTAAGATGTTGCGTGATAAATTTAAGATATTGCGTGACAACATGAACATTAAGGTAATCTTTATTCCAGGTGTAAGTCAGTTTGTTAAGAGTTCGTTTTCACGTGATATACCGCGAAATTTAAAAAAACGAACGATAAAATAAAGTCTTATAAGAATATGGCAATCGGGTGGTGGTGATGAGTATTCTTCAAACGTTGCATCAAAATGCAAGAATATTATTTTGAATATGAATAAAACTGCAATTGTCATCTCAGACGAGCGCTACTTTCATATCGGTCAAGTAAAGATCTCTAAAATTGACCCCTTCCTGGTAGGGCAAACGCTTTTTATGTTAAAACGAATTTGCGTTTTTTTCTAATGACTGATAGAGTAAGTAGTGCAGCTAGGTCAATTTTCCGATATCCATCTGGAATTCCCTTAACATACGATGTCTATCAAAGAAGACCTAGACAACATCCCCACGCAGCTAAATTTGGAGGACATGATAATATAGATTCCCAATTCTCAGGAGATTGATTTTTTTCGTTTTGTCCTCCAAATTGAGGTACTTTGGCCGGCGTCATATGCAAAGGGTCTATAGGATTGAAGCGGTAAAAACTTCAACCTCAGTAGTTTCCTCCTCCCCCTTATAAAAACACTTGGTGAATGATGGATTCCAGTTAATTGTCTTTAAAAAATCAATGTGTAAAATTCCCTTTTGCTTTGGTCCCCTTTTTCTCGTATGGGAAATTGCAAATGACGAATCTTTTGTTGGCTTCCTCCAACATCGCGGCTGTGAAAACCATTTAATAACCCTTAAGCTTTAGTGAAAGACAACCGTTCTACTCTACTTGATAGCATCCAACAAGACTTTACTTTATAATCGTATTACTTTAGATTATGTTAGTTTGTAACGTCACAAGACGTATAAATACATTTTGGTTCCGTTATATATATATTTGATCGGATTCAAAACTTTCTGATCAAGATAAATAAATGTGGAAAATTCGCCTCAAGGGTAATATTTAGACCACGTGATTCACATGTATAGTATGACGTCATATTGAATTAGGGAGTTCCCGAAAACGTCGTGAACTGAATTTCCAAGAATGTTTTTTTCTTCACACGAATCAGTTTGATTTATAGAGGTCTAGGCTTAGTATTTCATTTCGAGTTTTCAAGGATAAGAGCTGAATTATATTTCTGTGGTATACTTCAATCTTCAGGCTTTTTTTAGGGAAGTAAAGCTTTATATAGGCACGAAGGAACTTGTTGTCTGTGTCAAGATGAAAGAAAAGGAAATTAAATAAATGAGACCCGAATAAGAGTAAATCGGCAAGCGTCCTCGGCAGAAGCGACAAGGATTCTGCCAACTGAAAGGTAAGCTAAATCTTTCAAAATGTTAAATTACAATCTAGAAAGATCGTTTGAATTCAAAAGAAGAGTTCAGTTTATGATGATTTATACGCGAGAGTTTTGTGGCTTTACTTCATTATAAAATTCGAGCTATTTCAGTTTTGTCTGAACTCTTGATTAGCATATACTGCTACAGTGAACTGATGTTATGCAAATTCCTTGATAATTTTGGATTTGCTTGGATTTGAAACTCTTGTTTGAGAGTTGTACACATAATGTAGTCTATTTGAAAATACATTAATTTTATTTCTAATAGTATTATCAATTGTCATGGGGAAATGTTACTTAAAACAAGCTATCAAATGTTTGCGGGTATCCAGTATTCGAACGATTCCTAAACCAAGCAGCTTTTCTTTTGCATACTCATGTTTAACAAGAAGCATAAAGCTTTTATTTAAGCATAACACTTTTTATTTTTTTAATGCGCTTGAGTGAAAGATATGATATTCGCCATTATTCTTGACCTATAGAGCGGGCTTCGTTAGTGCATCCCAGACTTAGAACGCATGACTAAAGGTAAATCAATATTTGCAGGAATGTCTGAAGTACCGTCTAGAGGCCACCGAAGAGGTCGGAACACCCCACATAGAGGCAGAGGGGGTAGATTTTTCAGCCGAGGAACGCAGAGAGGGTCATGTGGTAGGCCTGATGCACAACATGGCCGAGGATCAAAAAGTGGGGCACACAGTAGAGGTTTGACACGTGGTGGGAAAATAGATAGAAATGAAAATGGAGAAAGATTTGGTTTGAGCCATTACCAAGACAGTAGTAGAGGATGGCAAGGAGGGACGAGTAACAGAGCGAGAGTTCACACAAGTAACAGAAAAACTGACAGAAATGAAAGCGATAATGAATCTGAAGGAAGTCATGACTCAAAGCACAATGTACAACGAGGAAGTTGGAGAGAACAAGGATGGCAGGGGGGAATATCCCGTGATAAAGGGCGTGGTGGGGGTGCATCACGTAGAGGGAAGAGGAAGAGCAATGACAGTAATGCAGAGCCACACCTCGATCACGACAGCTTATTGCTGATGCTGAAGAAAGATCCAGACGAGCTTGTCATGGATATAACATCTGATCGCTATTTACCTGCATTTGAGAGCCTTCTTAATCAATTTGATTTGCCAGACAAAGATGTAATTGTGATTCTTAGGGTTTTTGCTCAAGCTTGTGACAGCGAAACATCTCGAGCGTTTTTGATAATATTGCTAAATAAACTGGTCAACTCTGTGTATCTGGGCAGTGCACTAACGAGATACATCAACTGCTTGGCATATGCTTCAAGAAACGAGGAGAAAGACATAGAGGAGGAGCTGAAATGCATGGTTAAGGTCTTCATAGAAATTCTTAAAAAACTGCCAACTTCCCTCCCACATCTTCCCTTGCCGAACTTGTTGCATGCCGCGACTGCTTTATTGGACAACGGTCAGATTCGTAACACAGAAATCAAACCCTCTGTGGAGAATCTGATCGCACTGAGGGATAAAATGGCTGAGAAGGTCCAGAAGAAAGAAGAAACCAAGAAGACAAAACGAAGGATTGACCCAGGAGATGAAGGTAGCTTTGAATAACCATATTTGAAAATAAAGACAGTTTTTATGTTATGAATGCTTTGTAAAAAGGTCTCATATAGTTTACGAAGTGGCAGGCAGCATTATGGTGAGGCAGGGGTTTTGCAATAACACTCAAACTTTTTGTATAATTTGGGCCCTTGAATCTATCATTTGGATTTTTTAAAATTTACTTTTGTTGCTGCTCAGTTTAATTTGTCTGTTTGATGTTGCTGTTGCTGTTGGTTATCGTAATGGTGGCGATGACAGTGTTTTTAAATAAAAAAATCTACCTTACACTCGCGGTAAGTAATGCTAGTTCTTTATGTATAGCTGCTCTTCTCGATAATGAAGACCCCCCTGACAACTTTCGCTGTTTAAGTGTCATTCCCCAACAAGACGACATCCACCCAAAGGGACCGGTGTTCTTCAGGCGTAACAAGGTCAAAGGGAGTTACGATGGACCTGAACATTATCTGGATGTTCAGTTTCGGTTGCTACGTGAAGACTTTATCCGACCTCTTAGGGAAGGTATTGCTGCGTTGTCAGAAAGTACAGGAACGAGTGCTACAAAACCATCCCAGGTGGGTGTAGAAGAAAGTGCGTTGAGCATTCGAAACAATCCAACGACCGCAGATGATATGCGAGATATAAGAGGGGGTGTCACGCACAGAAATATACGACGCCTCTTAATAGTCACGTTCACAGTTCCCTGCGCCATCTTGAAAGGTTATCGTGGCTTTGCATTGAAGCGAGAAAAACCGCGAGCTTGCAATGGTAGAGACCTTTTTTAACACTTTGAACAATTATTCACGTCTCTATCATTGAAAACTCACCGTTCGTTTCGCTTCGATGCAAACGGCACGGCCAACCTTTCAAGATGGTGCAGGGAAATGTGGAGGAGACTATTAAACAAGCGAGGTGGCATGAAAAATAAATGCACAGTCGTTAACAAACATAAACACTATTAATATAAAAAAAGTTACTAAAACGCTTTCCAGCTTATTTTGTGTGTACTTTATGTTCAGGATATTCGAGTATACAATGGAGTAAAGCTACTCAAACCACTGTGTTCTTCCAAGGGAGTAACCTATGAAATCATCTTCGATGTGTCCAGACTGAAAAGAATCCGATGGGAGAACAGTAAGAGGCTGATCTATGGCTCACTACTTTGTCTCTCCAAAGATAATTTTGAGACCTTCGTTCTAGCGACAGTGGAGGAACGAAATCCCAGGCTCTTAGAACAGGTAACATATTGCATGAGTGCAGACATTAATCTTTATGCATCAGTGGAAGACTGATTACTGGTATACGCCTAAGTCCAAGATGAGGAACGAGGAATAAAAACGAGGCATCCAGGGCCAAATGCAAAGAAATAATATGGTATCAATGCAAATTATACACTTGTTCACTTGTTCCGTCGTCCTTTTCTTCTTACATTCAGGAACACAGCAATTTTGCAGCATCAAGTTATAAGAAGATACTGTAAATTTGTAAATTTGGCCCTGGATGCCTCGTTTTCAACCAGCTGGGCGCCATTTTGGATTCAGGTGTATAGAGTTTTTAAGTTGCGACGAATTCCAGGGGCAACTGCTCATAAAAACCACTATAATAATGCAAAATGTTCTCAATGATTTAACATCCACCTGAAACAATAATGGTAAATTTGGAGAAAACATTTTGTAATTGAAACAAAAGTAAGAAATGTTTTTTATAGAACTGCTTTTCGTTGTGGACCAAAAAGTTGTTTTTCCATACGGGTGACGTCACACGTATAACAACTTCTAATACATTTGTAGTAAAAATGTCTAATGTGACCATTCTTTTAATAGGGAATTTTCCAGGTTCGATTTACAGACATAAATGCTGATCTAGGTAATGCAACGTATCAAATGGTGGAGACTCTGGCCTATTTTGAAGCGTGTCGTCATGTGCTGGAAGGTCTTCAAGAAATTAGCTGTTTTCATTTTCCATTCGAGGTAAAAGCATTAAAAGACGTGGGACAACTGATCTGATTTTATGGCCATAACTAAACATTAAAAATGATTATTATATATCTATATCTATAGCTATACCTATACCTATACCTATACCTATGCCTAT